TCATTACTTCCCTTGTCACTGTACCCAATACCCAACACTCAAAATTTCAGACATAATAGATTTATTTTGTCTTAAAATTCAGTTCAGAGGACAGCATGGCAGAGGTACATTTCAGAGGAGAAACAGCTCATGACCTGGCTGTGGGAAGCAGACCGAGATTAACAGAGAGAGGGAGACATTTTCTTCTTGGCCAAACCCCCAGGGACCCACATACTCTACCAGGCTTTTAGCATCATTCCCACATGATCCAGGCACTGCCTACAAGTCCCTGATGGGAGTACAGGCAGTTTGTGTGGACATCTAGATTACGAAAATAGAATATCTGAGTTGGGGACACATACAACTGTAGCATCTACTGCCAGTTCAATTGCGATCCTCCTCTGTGACTTCCCAGCTCCCACTGGGATCCAGGCTATAGAACTGGCATAGACTGCACATATTACAGGAGTGGGTACAGATCTGAACCTGAAGAGATGGTCTTATGGCCTTCAGAATCTCCTCCAATTCAGCACAAACCAGGTCAAACAGCTCAGGGTGCACAAACATTGTTGGAATATTGGACTCATAGCTCTCTAGGGGGGCAGGATACAGCCCCTGGGTTAACTGGCTCAGTCCAGCACTTAGGTTCAGTAGGACCTGAAGGATGCTCAGCGAGAAGTGGTTCCCATAGCAACTGAAAGTCTTGAGCTGGGAGCAGCAGCTCAGGGCAGGCAAGATGGCAAGGAGATGGGAGTCTGTGATGTCACAGTGATCTAGGACAAGGGTCTCCAGGGTGCTGGCCAGTTTGTCTATCAGAGCCTGGAGAATCTCAGGATTGAATAATTTCATTGAAATCCACCGGAGACTCAGGGACTTGAGCTGGCTTGTGCTTGCACGCTGGGACAGATGGTGCAGGTCAGATTCTTTCAGTGGACTTGAACTCAAGGAGAGGACCTCCAAGGGGGTCTGGCTCCTGCAGAGAGAAAAGTTATTTCCTATGAATGAGGGTGATGATGGGGTGCATTAGAAATGACCTCAAGGTAGGAGAATCAGTTAGTCCCATTGTTACCCTAATCACCTGATGATCCCAGGATGGTGTGTGTTGAAGGCACTGATCCTTCAAATCACCATCACTTGTGTGAGTGGCTCAGTCCCCATTCTCTACAGTCCCCTGTTCTGAGCACCAAGCAGAAAACCACAGCTCTGGCCAGATGAGTTCAGTGATTGACTTGCAGGAAGAATGATCCCAGGCATGTTTGGCCAATGCATGCAGTTGGCCCTATGTCCTCAGCAAAGCCTGTGACCCTGTTCATATCCCTGCACTCCTCCACATCACCCTCAACTTGACTCCTGCACTTCCCATCTTCTCATTCCCTGCCTTGAGCACTGTTGCAGCTTTTAACTTGCTGTCCCCACAAAGCCTTATGCACTCACTGGTGGGTATTTGGGGAAGTGCCTGGATCATGGGTGTGATAACTGGATCAGCCCAATGACTGCTTTTGCGTGGCTCCAAGGGACGGAATTGCTGAAGAGGGAAGCACCATCCTGGGAGTGGATGGCAGCAAGCAATAGCCTTGTAGCCAGGATGGACTATGAAGGAAGCAAGAAAGCAGCTTGCTGCTTTCTGCCTACCCTGCAATGGGCTGCTTTTCCTGTTCCATTCCTGGAGTTGGCTGACTATGGACTGAATTCTTTTAAACTATAAGATTAAAAAAAAGAAACAACTTTACTGCTTTAACTTGTGCATGTTGGTATTTTGTCCTTGTGATTAGAAAATAACTAAGAGAAGCAACCTGCAGCCTGTCCTTAAGGACCTGGAAAATGGCTCGCTGCCCATCACAGCTGCAGAGCACAATCACCTGTCCAATCTGTGGCCTGCTCCTCCATTAGTGCTGTCTCTTCCCTTTTCCCAGGACCCTACCTGGAGTTGCTTCTGAAGAAGAAATCTAATCTGCCCTCATTTTGGCTGCTGCCTGACTGCTCACTTTCTGGACATGAGGCCTGCTCCAGATCTCCTATCCCTGGTTAGTCCCTGCTTTTACATGGGATGTACTGATAGGTCATGCCATGCTCGAGACAATGCTGTCTTTCCCACTTCCTAGTATTTTCCCTCGGCCAGCAGATGGGGAAAAGATGTCCTATGAATTTTTCCTTTAACAATGAATGTGCAGAGGAGCTCACCCCTGGCTCACCTGACAATCTTATGTAGATTTCCCTGCAGGAAGAAGACTTCATCCAACTGAAGATCACGGAGATTTTTCAGCTGTCCTAAGTGAAAGGCGCACATGTGGGAATAAGACTTCTTTTTCCTGGTTGAAGTAAACAGTTCTGGACGCAACCTGCTGAAGTGAAATTTGTGAAGGTTTTTCATCTTCTTGAGCTGAGGAACAAATGCCTTCATTCTTTCTGGACACCAGTAACTAAGCACCTCCAGCTCATGGATTGAATACAGGCGCACAGCTTGAAGAAGCTTCAGGATTTCAAAGACAGCACTGGAGTTGATCATCACCTTCTCACAGAACAGGTGCACTGAAGCTTTTCTCCCCCGGGCCCACTTCAAGAGGCAGAGCTGTAACTGATCATTGGTGGCACAAAACAGATCCCAGGCTTCAAAACGAAGGTTTGCGAATATTCTCAAGGTTGGGTTCTCCTCACTTAACCCAGGATTGCTCATGTCCTTATTCCAGGCATTGACTGAGTGGGCAGCACTCATGGCCCTGGGCCCTGCAGTCCAGAAGTCCTGGTGAACATCCCTCCAGTCCAGCACCTGCAGTTTCCACCTGCTGTGTGTAAGACAGGAAGCAACCTCAGAATTGAGGTAAAGACCCAACTTTCTACCTGTTCTTCTCTTGCACTTTCTGTGAATCAGCAATTCCCCTACCTTCCTGCCTTCCCTTTTCTCCCTTTTTAACTTTTGCATGGAGTATGGCTCAGCTTCTAGTTCCTGTGAGGTTAGGAAGATGCAGGTTTCTCCTGAGTTCATCACATCCCACACATACATCTTTCTCATCAGGTAACCCTGTCCCATGTCAGGCTTAGCAAAAGCCAAGAACTCTGTGATCCTCCTCAACATCAGAAACTGCTCCACACTTCAGTCTCCCTTGTGCCCTGACACCCATTGTCCCTTCCCTGGAGTTCCAGGACCTCCTTCCAGGAATGTTGTGTCATGCTCACCTGTGGTGAACCTTCTGGGACAGCTGTATATCAAGTCCATCCAGTACAGCCTCTAATGTCTGTAGGTTTCTCTGTTGCAGTGTGATTTCTCCAAACTGAGAGTGTGGCATCTTGGGTTTCCTCAGATCCATTAGGGTCTTCAACGGTAGGTAGGGGAATGGCCAGGCCTGCACCATCACCTTCAGGACCTCATTGTGTTCCCCCATGAAGGCATCCATGAACAAGTCATAGAAGATCATGGTGGGCAGTTCATGCAGAGCAGTGCTGGCTGTGGTGTCACTCTTCAGCAGGCTCTGCTTGGCCAGCTCATACAGAGGTGGTGGACTCTGCATGGTCAGCCTGAGATGTCTTCTAGGAGAAGGATACTGAGTAAGATCCAGGAAGAGGCATCTGTTCAGACAAAGCTCAGCAACCCCTGCTAACTCATGAGAAAAACACAGAGCCAAAATCCCTGGTCTGGCTAAGGTAAAGCCTTCTCAGTTTATACAAGTTTCACTGACCCTGGTAACTACAGAGCAATACCTATTCCCATGTTGGAAGCAGGACCCCACTACCCTATCCACTTCAAGCAGCTAGTCATTTGAGTTCCAGTCCCTCAGTGAAGTAGGTTCTGAGTGTTGTGAAATCTCAGTCCCTTCTTATTTGGGAAGCTTTTAATGACTGAGACAAGGCCCTAGAAGGATAATGGAAGTGCATTAGGATCCAACCAACTTATGATCTCCAATCCAACCATGAGGCCAGGCAGGAAACATTAGGGAAACCCTGTGAAATGGATCCAATTATTTTCATTTTATGCAGTTTAAGAATCAATATAAAAGACATGCAGCATTTTTATAGAGCATGTGGAAGTTAGAGATGGAAAATGCTAATTCTGCTGCAGTTTGTTAAAACCCTTCCATGTTTGACAACTTAGCACTTTGTGACAGACTGCAGGAGAGAAAATTGATGAAAACAAAGTCTCCCCCTTTAAAATACTGCAGACTTGGACAGGACAGGACAAGACTATAATCCCAGTACTATGGAAATCCAAGGAAAGAGAATTCGAAGTTTAATCCCAGCCTGAAAATTTAGTGACTTAGCTGGAATACCTTGCAATAAATTTTTGTTAAATAAAAATTAGGTATGTGTAGGTATATCAGTTCAAAGGCTGTGGTTTAAATCCAATACTACAAAAAAGGAAAACAACCAATGTAGCCAGGCGTAGTAGTGGATGCCTGTTATCCCAGTACACTCCAGGCTGAGGCAGGTGGATCACTTCAAGTTCAAGGGTAATCTGGCCTACATTGTGAACATAAGCTATTCAGAGCCAGCCTGAACCACTTAGTGAGATCATGTCTTAAAAAAAGGAAATAGGAACAAGCTAACAACAGCAACAAAAAGCACATAAA